GCCTGCCCAGCAGTGCGTCAGTGCGCGCCCGGGATCCGAACCAGCGAACCCCGGGCCGCCGCAGTGGAGCGCGCGCACCCAACCGCTTGCGCCACCGGGCCAGCCCCCCATTTTTAATTTTTAATAAGACATTCATACTTCACAAATAAAGAACAAGGAGAGCCAGTCCTCGTGGCCTAGCAGTTAAAGATCGGCACAGTCCGCTTCGGCAGCCGGGTTCAGTTCCCAGGCGAAGAACCACACCACTTGTCTATCAGTAGCCATGCTGTGGCAGCAGCTCACAGAGAAGAACCAGAAGAACTTACAGCTATACGCAACTATGTACTGGGGCTTTGGGGGGAAAAAAGGAAGAAAAAAGGAGGAAGATTGGCAACAGATGTTAGCTTAGGATGAATCTTCCGCCACACACAAAACAACAAAACAAAACTTTAAGGCAAAATAAAAAAAAGAGAATAAGGAGCATGATCATCTTTCCAGTGAATAAAATAAATGATGGAGGATATATGCTTTTGTTCTTATAGCATAACCAATGCATGAGAACTAGGAGGGGTTCTCATGGAAAGAGAATGAAAAGGAGACAGACAGACAGACCCATGGAGAGTGGCAGAGGGAAGCTCTCCTGTGAGGATCCTCAAATCCTGTGAAGGGCCAGCCCCACACGGACCTGGCTCCTGGGACCTCAGCACAGGTCACCTGCAGTACTGTCTGGCTGGGAAGGAACTGGTACAACAGCCATTTCAAATGATTTCCAACACCCTGAGGCACAGCTTTTATTTTAAAATTCAGTTTCTTAGTTTGATTTTTAATAGGTAATACATTCACGTGATTTAAAAACTAAAAAGGACACAAAGTTTCATAATGAAAAGTACACTGAAAACTATAAAACATTGCTGAGAGAAAGTAAAGAAGACTTTAGTAAGTGGAGAGAGATACCATGTTCATGGATCAGAATACTCAGTATTATTAAGATGTCAGTTCTCCCCAAACTGATTTATAGATTCAATGCAATTCTGATCAAAGTCGCAGAGGCTTTCTTTGGTAGAAATTGAAAAGCTGATTTTAAAGCTCATATGGAAGTGCAAAAGCCCTAGAATAGCCCAAATAACTTTGAAAAGGAAGAAAAAAGTTTGAGGACTCATACTACCTGACTTCAAGATGTATTATAAAGCTACAGAAATCAAAACATTGTGGTACTGCAGAAAGATAAACAAATAGATCAAAGGAACAGAATAAAGACTCCAGAAATAAACCTACCTATATGTAGACAGCTGATTTTCAGCAAAGGTGCAAAAGGAATTCACTGGAGAAAAGATAGTCTTTTCAACAAATGATGCTGGAACAATTGGACATACATATGCAAAAAAAAGAAAAAAAAAGAACTTTGATCCATACTTTGCATCATACACAAAAGTTAACTCAAAATAGGTAATAGATCTAAATGTAAAAACAGGGGGGAAAATCTTTGTGATCTTGGTAGGCATAGATTTCTTAGATGTGACACCAAAAGGATGATCCATAAAAGTAAAAATTGATAAATCAGATTTCATTCTTTAAAATTTAAAACTTCTGCTTATCAAAGACACCATTAAGAGGATAAAAGGACATGCCACAAAACTGGGAGAAAATATTTTCAAATCACACAATTGATAAAGGATTTGTATCCAGAATATATTTAAAAACTCTAAAAACACAATACTAAGAAAACAAACAACCTAACTAAAAATTGGGGGAAAGATTTTAGTAGACACATTAGATGGCAAATAAGCACGTGCAAATATGCTCGATATCATTAGTCACTAGGAAAATGAAAATTAAAACCAAAATAAGAAATCACTACATTCCCCACTAGAATGGCTAAAATTAGGAAGATTGACCTGCCAAGTGTTGGTGAGGACATGGAGCAACTGGAACTCTTATACATTGCTGGTGGGATTGTAAAATGGTGTAATCAAGTTCAGAAAACAGTTTGGCAGTTCCTTAAAATATTAGACGTACACCCACCATATAACTGAGGCATTCCACTCTTAGGGATTTACTCAAGAGAAATGAAAGTATGTGTCCATACAAAAGCTTGTTCATAGCAGCTCTATCTGTATTAGCTCAAAATTGGAAACAACCCAAATGTCCACAAATAGGTGAATGGACAAACTGTGGTATATTCATGCAATGGAATGCTACTCAGCAATAAAAAGGAATGAAGTATTGATTATGCTGATTAAAAGAGGATAGATAAAAAAAAAGTACACACGGTATGATTCCATTTATATAAAGTTCTAGAAATGCAAATGAACCCATAGTGACAGAAAGCAGATCAATGTTTGCATGGGGGATGGTGGGTGTGGGGAGAGGGGTGCAGGGAGGGAAAGATTGTAAAGGGACACAAGGAAACTTTTAGGGGTGAGGTATATGTTCACTTTCCTAATTGTGGTGGTTGAGTCATGAGGTATATGTATGTATACATACAAAACTTTTCTAATTGTACCTTTTAAATATGTGCAGTTTATTTATATGTCAGTTATACCTTGATAAAGCTGTTAGAATCTTCAATTTCTTAACTAAAAATTTAAAAGTTAATACAAAAGAAAGGTAATACAGTCACAGTACTTAAAAACTAAAAAGTACAAAAAGGTTTATAGCGAAAAGTTCCCAGCTGCCCAGTTTCCACCACCCATCCCCCTCCACCACAGATATGAGGAATCATTTGCATTGCCATAGACTTTCCAAAAGTTAATGTTTACCTTTATTGACCATAAAATATCCTAGTCAATAGTAAATAGCCAGTTAAACAAAGGTTTACATACCCTTAGAGAGTCAGTTAATCCCTAGGAGAGCCTGCTAGTCAATGCCCAGCACTGAAAGAATACTTTGTAATCCTTTTTGCCTATTTCCAAATTTCAGACACTTTTTCTTTTTCTTTCTTTCTCTCTCTCTTTTTTTTTTGCTGAGGAAGATTCGGCCTGAGCTAACATCTGTTGCAAATCCTCCTCTTTTTGCTTGAGGAAGATTTGCCCTGAACTAACATCTGTGCCAGTCTTCCTCTATTTTGTATGTGGGTTGCCGCCACAGCGTGGCTGCCAACAAGTGGTGTGGTTCCAAGCCCAGGAACCAAATGCAGGCTGCCAAAGCGGAGCACACTGAACTTAACCACTAGGCCACGGGGCTGACCCTCAGATACTTTTTCTTATATTATGTTATCTATCTGTTTTTTTGCCCATTTTTCTATTGTATTGTTGATCTTTTTTTCTTGGTTTCTGAGAGCTCTTTACATATTAGAGAGGTTAACTCTTTGTCTATGATGTGAGTTGTACATATTTTTTTCTGGTTTGTAGTTTTTCTCTTGACTGAACTTTTTTTTTTTTGCAAAACAGAACTTTTTTCATGGAGTATAATTTATCAATCTTTTATTTTATGACTTCTGGATTTTAAGTCATAGTTTTAAACCAGCCTTTGCCATTCCAAGGTCATGAGGAATTTTATCATGTTTTCTTCTAGAACTTTTATGGTTTCATTTGTACCTTCAGAAGGGTGGTCCATTTAGGATTTATTCTTGTGCCTGGTGTAAGTTGTGGGATATAGTTTTTCTTTTAAAACATTAACACTTATTTTTGAAATAAAGCTTTGTTTTTTGCTGGTGTTCTAAAAGTATTAGCATTGTGTATGAAACAATGACTAATTTTTAGAAGTTTACTTTGGAACTTAGGGGCATGGGGTGGGACGTTTATCACTATTGCTTGAATGTCATTTTGTGCAACAAAATTGCTTACTCTACGGTAAGTAAAAGACACCTTTGAAGCCAACATTTATTTTATTACTCATGATGTTTCCTTTTTTTCCTGCCAAATCAAAATTTGGTAGATGGGTGGGGGTAATCTCCTGTAGGTTGCCAAAGAAGACGGTTTGCAGTGGAGAATGGAAAACACAAAACAACAAAAACAACAAAAGTAAATAACACAATAGAAAAAAATTCCTTTAGGTATGCATTGTTCTTTAACAGCTCTTATCAAAACTTTGATTGAACCACAGATTAGAGAGAGGAATTGTTCTCTAACTGGAAGCCATCACTTCTTGGTACTTGCCCTGAGGCAGAGAAGTCTTTGATTTCTATTGTCTCAGTTCAAATATGACTTAGCTTTACCACGAGGCAGTGTGAGAGGGTAGCATTTCAGAAACAACCTGGCATCCTGACCTCAAGGCAGTGATAATCGAATTCAGACAACACAGTTAACTTGTCTTCTCTCACACAGACAGTCATCCATTCTACTACTGTGTTTTGATCTACTAGGTACCAGACGCTGTCCCTGCCAGCAGTCCACTTGGGGGAAGACTGTAGACAGTGTTTGATGCGGGGAAGACTAGGGAGGTGAGGGGGCACAGAGGAAGGGCAGCTCAGTGTGGGGAAGACAGGGGAGAATTCTGGAAGAGTTGATGCCTAAACAGATTTATGATGAATGGGTACAAATTAGCAAGATAGAAGAGGGGTAGGGTACTCCAGGCAGGGGAACAGCATTGGCAAAGGCACAGACATGTGAGGTGTTCTGGGAACTATAAATTCTAGCAACCAGAATGTAGGGCTAAGGAAGGAAGCTGTGAGAGATCAGGCTGGAGAGGTAAGCAAGGGCTGGATCGTGGAGGATTGTAAACTAACTTTTCTCTGGGAGGCACTGGAGAGCCATTACAAGGTCTCCCTGCTGAACCTGCAATTTTCTGGAAAAGTCAGTGCTGTCCCTTGGCCTTGCCAGGCAAGTCAGGAGGTCCAGATTTATGCTGTGTGGAAAGAGCCTCCTTGAGGAGCCACAGGAATAGCAGAGTGTCCAAGGAGGGAAGCCCTTTGGGTGGAGGGGGAGAGGAGCCCTCTCACCCTGCCGTGAGAAGGGGCCGCCAAACTCAGGCGAGACAGAGGGAGGGTCAGGAGTGCTGATGTAAATGTCACTTGTATCTTTTTTTCCCTAAAAAAATTAAACAAAGCAGCTGCATTCAGCGGCCTCTCAGGAAGGCCAGTCATTTCCTGAGGAGATAACAGGCTGGCCCAGGCATTGTTCCCAGTTTCCAGCAATGGCTGCCATTACCTGACCAGTGCCACAGCCAGTCTCTCTGCGGCGCCGGGAGAAGTCACCAGCGTGGTCTCTCTGCTTTTCACAGAGCAGGTCTCTCATCTGTGGCGTGTGGGGAGTGTCTTCTGCCCCAGGGGCATGGCCCGAAGGCGGCACTAACTGTGTGAAGTCCTTGCTCTCAGGATACAGCCGGGGTGGGCCCAAGAGGGCAAGATGTGGCTCGGCGTCCTGCTGACATTTCTGCTCTGTGAGTTTTTATTCCCTTCTCACATCACTTAAACTTCGTGAGAATTGAAGCGAATGAAATCAACATATTTCTTCTGTCTTTTCCAGGTTCAAGTCTTGAGGGTCAAGAAAACTGTAAGTTGTAAAGTTTCTACCTCGTTTCATTGTGTCTTTCAGTCATTCTTAAAACTTGTGTCCGATTGCTTGGGTTTCATGTTTATAACAATTGAGAAAAATATTCCAATTTAGAGCTAAAGTTTATTCCTTTCTGGCATTTTTAGAAGGTTTTAGAACAAAACACTTATTCTAAGCCAAGTTCTAATTAGCATGTTCTAGAAGTAGCATACATTTTCTGGATCCTACTGAACTGCTATTTGTTAGGACTGGGGAAGTGATAAAAAAGTGACTGACTCCATAACTTGTTTTTTGTTGTTCTACCGTAAATTTCTTGATTTCATATTCTATCCCGTCCCTAATTGTTTTTATTCACAAATGAGATAGAATCAATTTGTTAGATTCATGAAGACAGAACACAGCTTAAATTGTTGTTATGACTTTATTTCTCCTAAATGATCTAAAACAGATATTGGATTTCATTTCCCATCCACCCATGAGGCTATGATTATACCTACAGTATTTTGTGCTGGTGCACAGGAAGGGGGGCTTCTGCCTATCTTTGAAGTCTGGTTTATCATCCACTTTAGAGCTAATTTTGAATCTTTAAGATAAGCGGGGTTTTTTTTGCTTCATCTGGAACCCTGTGAAGGAGGGGTCTCGGCTGGATCTGAGGGCTGAACGGAGGGAGATCCCACAGATCAGGATCTCCTTATCAGGTCACTTCCGTTGGCAAAGAATGGGGGTGACTGGGTTGCAGACAGTTGTACAGCTCTTTGGAGATGATGTACACAGACGATGCTCGTTTGTCGAACCAAGGCTCAGAGCAGTGGCTCCAGATGGGGAGGGCTAGTGTGGCTACTAGCAAAGCTGGTCTGCGCATCTCCTGCTTGACTGTCCATGTGCTTTGGGGGGCATTTGATCCCCATAGCAACCCATGGAGGCGGGATATCCCTTGTCTTCATAATCATCCTAATTGACTGATGAGGTCTCTGCACCTCAGAGAAATAACCAACTTGTCCATAGGAGAGACAGTTAGCAGGGCATGGGCACTAGAACCTCCACTGTCCAAAACCTGACTGTCTGTCTGGAGCCATAGGCCTGACTCAAATCTTTAAAGCTTTTACTTTGCCTCCTTGAGCCTTTTTCTCAATCTGTAAAAGGGGAATGATAAGAGAATGGATCATAGAGTCAGTGTGAGGATGAGAGATTGGATAAAAGGAGGTGACTTGCCTGCCCTGTATGCAGTGATTAATACTGCCTGGTCCTAGCCCACCTTTGCAATCACACTTCCTGCACAAACCCCCTCTCCGTCTGCCCCTGCCCACAAGCTCTTGTCCCGACCGCGCCCTGCCAACACCCATGGTTCTGGGCCTCTGTGTCTCTTGCTCAGGGCATCCTGTTTCCCAGGACCTCCTTTCTCTCACATCTCCTTCCCCACCTCCCTTTCCAGGGTTGCTAGGGAAAGTTCTTCGAACCTTCAGGGACACAACCTCAGGACTGCAGGACTTAGAGCAGGGAGACTCCCATTGCTTCCTCAGGCCTCCACCATGTTTTACACTTGAGGAAACTCAGGCTCAGAGGCCATAAGGTACTTGTGCATGGTCAACACTGGGTGTTAGCACAGTGGGGCTAGGACCCAGGTCTCTCATGCCTTAGGCCACCCAAGACCATGCTGACGTGTTTGACACACCTGACCCGCCAGCTTGCTCCCTGCTGCCTGCTCTCTGCGGTTGAGGTCCTTGGTCACCCTTGGCCCTTTCCCCCCTTTGATCTCAGGCCCCCACCCACCCCCTGGCTGCCTGCCGCAGGAGATGACCTCAGCTCCATCTTCACCTAGAAAACAGTGCTGTCTGGAGGGAACTCCCTCAGCCGCCTGCCTCGCCCTGGCTGCAGGCTTATCTGCCTCCCCACCCATCCTCCCAGCTTCCCTCCTGCCTTCAGAGGAGACATCTGCCTCCGTGGCCGGCCAGGGCCAGTCTGTTCACTTTGGCTCTGAGCCCATCCTTCACTTCACGCCCCCAGATTTCACGCTATCATTTATTCAGCCCCCCACCACACTTTTGTTACCTCTATCCCCCACTTCTGGCTCTTTTCCTTCAGTCTACAAACCCGATTGGTAGCTCTTATTTTTTTAGGAAAAAGAAAAATCACAAACAACCCACCCCCCTCCATTAGTCTTGTGTCCTCCTATCTATCCACTTCCTTTCTCAGTCAGACTTCTCCCAAGGCTGGTTTATAATCGCTGTCTCTGCTTCCTCACCTCTCAGTCACCCCTTACTCAGCAGTCTGGCCTTGGCCCTCATCCTCCCTGCCATTGAAATCCTCTCACCAAAGGGTCACCAAGGACCTCCTGATGCCAAATGCCATGAACACTTCTAGCCCTTAGCTTTCTGGACCCCTGTGCTGCCTTTGCATGAAGCCTCCTTCCTTGGCTTTCTAGACCCTCTTCCCTGTGTTCTCCTACCTCTCTGGCAAACCCTCCTCCTTTTCACTCAAGGAAGACTTGGACTTGGGACTTTCCCGGGGTCTGAGCTCAGTCCCCTGGTCTCTGCAGGCTCCACGGTCTTCTCCTCTCTGGAGCTCCACCCTCATCTCTATGCCTCCACATAGCCCTCTTGTCTAATCGAGCCCTGGCCTCTCCTCTGAGTGTCATACGCGGCCAGTGGGTGACATCTCTTAGTCATCCCCCAGACCCCTCAAAGCCAGCTGCACCACCGTGACTTTGTGTCTGCTCTTACCTTTTTCTGGTATTCCCTACTTCAATCGGTGGCACCCATAGACTCCTGGACACCCAATCCAGGAACCTTACCTTTCACTTTTTGCCTCAACCCCCATATCCAATCAAACAAGTCTTTTTTTGTTGTTGTAATAAAATATATGTAATGTAAAATTTTATTATGAATGACATTTAGTACGTTCATAATGTTGTGCAAACATCACCACTGTCTAGTTCCAGAACATTTTGATCACTCCAAAAAATAAGTCCTTTTGTGTCCACTAAATATTTTTCAAGTCCACTCCTTCCTTCATTCCCACTGTGCTGGCCTCATCAGCTTTCACCTGAACCCTCGTCCAGGCTGTTTACAGGCCTCTGGTCTCTCCCTCCAGCCCACAGTGATCTTCCTAAAACCCCAGTGTCATCCTGTAGCCCCTCCTGAAGACCTTCAGAACAGGACCCAGCTTGTCAGCAGAGTGGGCAAGGCCCTCTCTTCTGGTACCTCCTGCCTGGCCCACTTGGCCCTCCAGCCCCACACTCTGGTTTCTGTAACTGCCTGGGCCCAGTAGCATTGATTTCTTATGTGCCTGTGCCCTGGTACATACTGTTCTGACAGAGCACCCTGCTGCCCATTCTTGGCCTGGTCCAAGGCTCGGTTCAGGGGTCATTTCCTTTAGATTTTTCTTGGCCTCTCCAGGACGGCCCTTCCTCTTGGTGCTTACATCAGCATACTCCAGCTATCTGCGTCCCCGCCAGCCTGCACAGTCTAGGACAGCAGGGATGATTTCTTATTCACTATGTAAGCCCAGCACAGGTGCTTGATAAATGTCGCATTGAAGGAGACTCCAACTGACCTTGAGGGTGCTTGAGATTCAGATGAGATGGGTCAGCACGCTCTATGCTGAGCACTGAAGTTCTTCAGGGACTCCATGCTTCTTGGCTCCCTGTAACTTTCCTGACGATGGTGGATGGCCCCTCCTTGTCCCCCGCAACCTTTCTTCCTGAGTCATTTCCCAGTTGAGAGCCAAGAGGCTGGCTGAGTCATGATGCCTCGTCTTCCCAGGGAGCGTCAGCATCCGCTGCCTGGTGGCTTGAGGTAGAGGGAAGCAGGCCCCTTCGTTTTAGGGTTTGGGGATTTGGCACTGTGGTCCTTGGGTGCCTTATCTGTGCTGTGGTGACTTTGTTACTTTGGATCCTCCTCCATCAGACTTCATCCCTCCAGGTTCAAAAGATCGGACATTTTGGGCTGTTCCACAACCCTTTCTTTCCATCACAACAGTTCTGAGCCTTTTGGGTTCCATAAGGAAAGCTGTGGATTCTTTCTTCAGAAAAATGCACACTTGCATATAACTGGAGGTGGTTCATGGGCCCCCTAACACCCATCCATGAACCTCTAGGGGGATCAGGTAGCCCAGGTTGTGAACAATCACTCTGTTGTGTAAATAGTGAGACCTACACACAATAATCCGGTTTGGCTGTTCCTGGACAGTTTATTCACAAACAAGATAATGTTTTCTGTATTATCTTAGTCATCAGGCAGAGATTTTTGAAGATTGGTTGGGTAGTGTATCTGTTAGCTATTGCTGCTTAACAAAATGCCCCAAAACTTAGTGGCTTTACACAACAATTTATTATCTCACACAGTTTCTGAGGATCAGGAATCTGGGAGCAGCCAGTTGGGTGATTCTGGCTCAAGTCTGTCAGGAGATTGGAGATAAAATGGTGGTCAGGGTTACAATTATCTGAAGGCTTGTCTGAGGCTGGGGTATCTGCTTTTAAGCTCACTCATGTGGCTGTTCCTCGCCATGTGGGCCTCTCCATAGGGATGCTCATGACATAGCAGCTGGCTTTGCTCAGGATGAGTGATTCCAGAACAGGGAAGAGTGACCAAAACGAAAGTTGCAATGTCTTTTGTATCCTAATCTCAGAAGTAACATATCAGCACTTCTGCAGTATTTTGTTGGTCACAAGACCAACCCTGGTATGATGCGAGAGAGGACCACATGCAGGTGTGAATACCAGAAGGCAAGGCTGATTGGGGCCATCTTGAATGCTGGCTACCGCGAGGGTGGTGGTGGAGGTATAGAGGTGCTGGAGGTGGTGAGAAAAGCTACACTGCTGTTTGGGTTGCATCAAGTCAATGAGGTTTTGGGTTAAGTTGAAGAGCTGGGATTCATATCTTGATAAATTTTATAAAATACCTTCTCTTTTACCATCCTGCCCTCCTTTCTTCTCCTTTGTCTGTTCCAGCTGGCCATGGGAATCCTACCAGTGTATCGGTTGAGTTAATTTATTAAACTGATGTGTTTCCGAGTTGCTTAGAGAAACAAGATGGCAGAAGTGCCCCACGCTAGCGGATATCATCCTCTCTAAAAATCACCACCTGATGCTTTAGCCATGTTTGCTTTAAAATTGTTAAAAAGTGGTTGGGATCCTATAAAAACGAAATGAACTAGGCCCGATCAGTAGGAGACCCAGGCAGGGATGGTGCTGGGGCTGGAAGGCCTGGAGTAGGGAAGAATTGTGAAATGCAGACTGTGAGCTCCAGGCAGGCAGAAACTGTGCCAGTCTCATTCTTCTCTGAACCCCCAGTACTGGGTGCAGTGCCTGGCACAGAGAAGCCCCCTTAAATGTCTGCTGAATGAATGGTGCTAAGGAAGAGGGAAGGGAATGTCAACCAGGACCAGGCTTGGGCAGTGCATACTCTGCCCCTTCAGTGCTCTCAGCCACCTTGCTTCAGTCGTTGTTCAAGATTAAAATACCAGGGAAGGCAGGTATTAGTGTTTCCATTTTATAGGAGGAGAAGTTGTAGTCCAGGTGGGTTAAATTACCCCCCACCTCACCAAGCCTTACTGAAGGCTGTGGGATCGGGGCCTTGGCCCCAGGTGTGCCTGACTTGCCTTCTTCCTGTACCCAGCTCTGTGTCCCAGTCTGGGGCATAACCAGCCATGGGTGTGCATTTCATTCAGGATGATGACAGTAAAGTAGCCCAACACAGTGGGATGACCAACACTGGGAGTCTGGGAAGTCTCTATACTTAACCTGGGAAATTAAAAAATGGCTTTCTTTGAAAAACTCCACTAGAAATATGGAGTTAAGATAGAGCTTTGGAGACTTCAAGACTCAAGAGTTAGTTTTATATCTGTGACTGACAGAATCTAGCTGACATCTTATCTGTGCTCCAACTGCTTAGACGTGGGTTCCCATTTACACTTACTATTATTATGTCCATTGTATGGATAAGAAAATTGAGGCTCAGAGAAGCTCAGTAACTTGCCAAAAGCCATGCAGTTTGTGAGCAGAGGTGGGATTTGGCCCAGGCAGTCTGGCTCTGCTCTTATCTTCTGCTCTCTACTGTCTCCTGATAGAATCACTGCACTAAAAGCATGGCTTACAATGAAGGAGGAGGTACTGAAGGGGCAGTGAGACCTGCCTGTCCCCACCAGGGAAGGGACCATGTTAATTGATGAGAAACTAAATATGGTCCAAAGAAACTTCTGTCTGAGAGTTCACCCAGCAGGCTCCTCAGACCAGGAGCTAATAAGGAACAGAGAAAGACAGAAAAGGGAGTTCTAAAGATGAATACTGCGGGAAATAACCTGAATTTAAACAATTGCCTTGTTTCATCTCAGGCACTGATCAGATGCCATTTTTGTTAAATTAATTACTCAGAAGAAAGGGACAGGTGTGGACTATTGTACTGATTTTAAAACCTGAGATATGTCATAAAAGAATTAAGTTCTAAATGTTCAAAAAAAGGTTTGACTTTATTAAGAGAGAGGGAAAGAAAGACAATTTTTATCAGTATCTCTGGCCAGCTAGCTAGCTATACCTTTTCTTGTTTGAAAAATGATTTGGAATCACTTATAAAAATTATGTATTGTTGTTTGAAAGGCTGAGCCACCTGATTTTAAGGTTGTGGACCTTAGATACATTTTCCCCAAAATTCGTCACATATCGTCCATTCTTGCTAGCCATATACTGATCACAAAGATGTTCGAGAGTTTTTTTATAACAGGAATTTGGAGAGTGAATATTTTATAGCACTGATTAAGCCCAGATCCATGTGCTTGAATAATAAACCTAGGGAAGGTAGGGCTAAGGTGCTCTGAGATATTTCAAGAAGCATAACTGGAATCCCAGGTAGGATGCAGAAAGACCTATGGGCAGGACCAAGAGGATCCTCAAAACAGACCTGCTCTTGTCTGCAAGGAATCGTGGCCCGAAGTCCTGACTAATGAACATGGTCCAGAACCTTCTAGCCTGAAAAATTTTCAGAGCAGTGGCCCACCACCAACCAACCAGCAGACAAAATACTTTTAAATAGCCAGAGAGCATCTAGTTTTAAGCAATTTATCTTCTCATCAGCCCGCCACTGTAAATAAGTCTCAAAATGTGATCTCTAGTCAGCTGAATTCTGTTAACAGCCTATGGTTGCTGGACATAAGCCAATTAAATGCTGGAGGACATGGGCTAGAAATGATGCATTTGGCTGGTTGATCCGGGACCTGGTTTCTGGCAGAGATCAGATAGCTAGTTGGGCATTGTGGCTGCTCTGGGTGCTTGGCCAGAGATTCCTCCCTCTCATCGGTAGTGCTCTTTGCTTCTCAGTGGCAGATGGGGATGGGGACTGCAAGTGGCTGCCATGGAAGTGGTTTCTTTTTTTTCTTTTGGTGAGAAAGATTGGCCCTGAGCTAACACCTGTTGCCAACCTTCTTCTGTTTTTTGCACGTGGGATGCCGCCACAGCGTGGCTTGATGAGCAGTGTGTAGGTCGACACCCAGGATCCGAACCTGCAAACCCTGGGCCGCCAAAGCAGAGCACATGAACGTAACCACTGTGCCACCGGGCTGGTCCCTCAGAAGTGGTTTCAAATTCTCACCCATCTAGTGAGAATTCTGAGTTTATCAGATAGAAAACACCAGCTGGGACTGTGCTAATTTTGTCACGCCTGGGTGGGGAAGGAAAGTTCCTGGGCGTGACCACCCAATTTCAGAATGGTGGTAGCCATCATTTATTAAGCAATTACCGTGTGCCAGTCACTGTACTGGGTGCTTTCCTGCTCCTTGCAGGTAAGTCTTGCAACAACCTACTAAGTAGGTATTATTCCCCATCTTACAGATGAGCTGAACTTAGAGAGGTTAATCGCCCAAGGTCGCACAGAAAGTGATGAGCCAGGACTTGAACGCTTGTCTGCCTAAATCCTATGGTCCCTCTAGGGGCTATGATACGGCAGCTCACAGGCTGGACATGTTTTATTTGGACACACTCTGAAGGCCTCCACCTTTCTTGGTGGGAATAAGAACAACTTAGTACCAACTGCTTCATGCTTGACCCACCACACACAGTTGTTACCCACCTGGCCCCTGTAGGCATTTGAGACCCCTGAACACTATACTGCGCAGGATGTGATAATACCAATCCAACGTGGTGAAGGTCACCAGGACAATGTTGTTTCTAAGATAACAGGTGTGTCTGTCCTCCTTCCCTTGGCATTTAGCTTTCACCATCAACAGCATCCACATGGAGATCCTGCCGAGCCTGGAGGTGCAAAACGGGGAGAACCTGACCCTGCAGTGCATCGTGGATGTCAGCACCACCTCGCAAGTCAAGCCTCAGCACTGGGTGCTGTTCTATAAGGATGATGTGCTATTTCACAACATCTCCTCCAGGGAGAACACAGAGAGTTATTTTATTCCCCAAGCCCGGGTCTATGACGCAGGGACCTACAAATGCACTGTGATTCTGAACAACAAGCAGAAAACCACTTTGGAGTACCAGGTGTTGGTAAAAGGTGAGTCCCTGGAATTGAACACAGCTCAAGCAGATGAAGCATAACACATGCAGCAGCAAGAATAGTAATTGAGTGAATAGTAACACTGGACCTACCTGCCTGTCCATCACCCTTCTCACTCATCTGTCTGGCGTTTTCCTAACCTGAAAACATCGGCACTAGACATGCTCCCGGTATGCCAGGCTATTTCTCTTCTCATTGCCTTTGCACGTGCTATTCTTTATCCCAGGAATACCCTTCTTCCTCTTGTCTCTCTGTGAACTATTCTCTCTCTTACAGTACTCGACTCAATGATCTCTTATCTGACACTCTCCCAAACAAGATTAATCTTCTTCAGAGTCTCAGTGCTTACAGCTCTTATGCTCTCTCTACGTTCAATGGTATTTGTATAAAGGCCATAGGGCTGAGTGTTGACATTGGATTCTGCAGTCCCTGTGCATGGATTCCAATCGGACAAGTCTCTTAACCTCTCTAAACTTTAACATTCTCATCAGTGAAATGAAAATAATAACAATACCCAGCTCAGGGAGTTATTGAAAGGATAAAAAGATATGGTGTAGGGTAAAGTGCTTAGCATAATTTCCAACACATAATGAGTTCCCAGTAATGGCAGCTACTATTTCACTCAATATTACAACTGTTTCTTACACGTCTATCTGCTCTTCTGAACTGTGAGATCGTGAGGAAAGAGATGGTGTTTGATCTATTTTTGTATCTCAAAGAATCTGGCTCATAGTAGGCACTCAATAAATGATTGTGGAATAAATTAAACATGAAAAGGGCAAGTAGAAATGGATAGGGATCGAGAAACAGGAGAAAAATCATTGTGGGAAATTTAGGTTCATAGACACAGAGTTCCTTTCATTCATTCATTGATTTACTCCCTCAAGAAGCCTATCCCAAGGCTGCAAGTCAGGAAAAACTAGTGCTGGACATGAAAATGCATCAGGCAGGTCCCAGCAATGGAGGCAGTTACAGTCTGGTGGGAGAGACATTTAAACAAATAATTACAGCCTAACAGTCATATGATCTGAATGCCTTGGGAGCACAAAGATAGGAGTAAACAATTCTGCCTAGAGAAGTTAAGGATGGCTTCCTGGAGGAAGGGACGTTGGGTCCAGATACAGAAGGTCATGTAGGAGTTTGCTTGACGGAGAAGTGGGGCAGGGCGGAGAAATAGAACGTAGCATAAGCGTGAGAGCGCAGAGGCTGAGAACCAGAGGTTAGTAACCAGGCAGAGAGCCCCTCGGTCAAATTCCCCAACCTCTTGGAGTCTTCATTTCCTGAATCGAAAATAGAGATAACTAGGCAACTACGTGTGTCCTTGCAGGTTGTTTTTTGCAGGGATTAAATAGGATAGTGAATGAAGCATATTCAGTAACCAAGTGTTGAATGAATGGCCCATCATGTGCGAGGTGCTGGGCAAGGCCATCCTGAGGAAAAAATAACACTTGTAAACAAATAGGAAGCAGGAAGAACCAGTGGGCAAATGTTCCAGGGCATTTTCCTTTCATAAGTATACAATCTCTGACCACTTTCTTGTCAGTCTTTGAGGCCCACACGGGAGAATGTGACTGCATCATCCTCTAGGCCAATTCCTCCGTGAGTGTCCTGTGGAAAACCCCGGGGGCACGGCTCGCCAGGCGTCCATTTGTGTCACCAGGGGTAACAGCCACAGGGATGCAGACCAGCCCTTCTCCATCTGCATTGAGGACAGGGGAGGAACCAGTGGGCCTTGGCATTTACATTAGCGATGAGGAAAGATTGGCAGGCCAAGGATTTTGGGAGATGTGTGTTGAAAAGAAATGTGCTGGCAGGCTTTTGAAACTTAGGATAATTTTTCTTAAAACTTGGATGATTTAATGGACAGAGTTAGTGAATTCAGCCCTGTGCTTCCTTGACAGCTGCTGCCATAAATGTCATTTCTGCATTTTTGTGCTCACTTTTGTCATCAGAACATTCATTCAGACTATTATTACTTCCAGTAATAAGAACTACTAGTTTGTAGGTCCTCATGAGATAAACAGTTATAAGTGTTCTACACATGTTTCATTTAACCCCTGCAATAGGAGGTAAACAGGGTTCCTTCTATTTACAAGTGCGGACACTGGGCTCAGAGGTTGAGTGGCATGCTTATGTCTCCTAGTTCATCAAAGGTAAAGCCAGAGTTAGAACCAAGATCAATTTGACTGCAAAGTTAGCCTCTCTAACTCTTGATTATTATGATAGGTCTTTGAGGCAGACAAAACGCCATTCATTCAACATTCATTGAGTCCCTACTCTGACCCAGGCCAAGGACCTAAGGATGAGTGAGACGTGATCTCTTCCCTTGGAGAGCTCAGCGTGAAGCAGAGCAACACCTTCACAAACACCTGCCACCACAGGTGACAATAATGGTATGAATACACTTTATGTCCATGACCCCATGTGATGACTTCCCAAGATCTCCTTCCCAAGATGACAGCCCTCCATCTCTGAACTGGGTAGGTCAAAAAAAAAAGATTCATAAGAGTCATAAATGACTGGGTGAGGTGGCACACCCAGGAAGAGGCAGGTTTAGGATGCAGGCAAGTCTGCCTGACTCTAAGATAGAGGTCATGACCACCAAACGACGGGGCCTGGACAGGACATCTAATCTCAGCCAGGCTCTCCCAGCTCCCCCTAATCTGACCCTGGCTTACCACCGAGTGTACCTCCCCACCCACTCCTTTCTGCCTTAGATGGCTTTCCTGAAAAGCCACTCACTCCTTGGCACAAGCAATTCCCCATGCACATGTGCACCCTGAAATGCTTGTCCTTAGCCCCTGTCCCACCTCATCTGTCCAGATAGCACCGTTCCTCCAAGATTTCTCTCAGGTCTTGCTCCTCTCTAGAAACTTCTCTGATCCCCCAGGCAAAGAGGGCCTCCTCTTTCCCAGACTGCTCCATCACTCATTGTCTCTGCAACACACTCTGACGCTTGGTTATTTTCAACTTTGCTTTTTGAACTGGGAGGCCACGCGTCCTTCCTCTCTCCCGCCCCTTCACCCCCACCCCAACCTCTGGCTTTAGAATCAGACAGACCTGAAGTCAAATCTTGGCTCTGGTCTCGATGGCTATGAACTTTTGCGTGAGCCTTGAACCTCTCTGAGCTCCACCTTCTTCACCTGTAAATTGGGCATAATTTTATCTTTAATGCCCACCCAGGAGATTTATTATGAGAATTACATGGGGTCATGGATATAAAGTCAATCCTAGCTTGTGGTTGGCATTCAATAAATTATAACAACACAGTAACACTAAAAAATACCGGCTGTTTTGTTTTGTTTTAGCTGTATGAGTTGGGAAGACTTGTCTTCCCAATGGGATTATAAATGTTGAAAGCACCAATCACATCTTAAACATATTTTATATTTTTCAAAGTAGCTGGTACAGTGCTGGGCACATACGTGCTCAATAATTACCTGGTAGGTAGCAGTGGGTGTTCTGGGAACCACAATGACTCCACTGAGGGAGGCTTGTGCTGCTAGATCCAACTGATAGTAATGAACTTTCTCTTCTCTTAAAGGAGTGCCGAGTCCCAGGGTCATGCTTGACAAGAAGGAGGCAATAGAAGGCGGGATCGTGACGGTCAATTGTTCTGTCCCGGAGGAAAGGCCCCCAATACATTTCACCATTGAAAAACACGAACTAAATACAAAGGGTGTCAGGCAAAAAAAAGAAAAAACTTCTCAGAACCAGAATTTTGTGACGCTAAAATTCACAATTGAGGAACAAGACCGTGTTATATCATTCCATTGTCAAGCAAGCATCATTTCTAGGACCAATGTGGAGACCTCTGAATCCAGCAAGAGTGAACTGGTCACTGTGACAGGTCAGAGGCCTGCTCTTCTCTTTCTCATTCTTTCTGGTTTGTTTGTTTGGTATGGGGAGAAAGAGCGCAGGATTGGAAAGGGGCTGGGAACTTCTGGCTAGGCTGCTGTTCTCAAGACTGTTCTTTTTTTTTTTTAAAGATTTTATTTATTTACCTTTTCCCCCCAAAGCCCCAGTAGATAGTTGTATGTCATAGCTGCACAACCTTCTAATTGCTGTATGTGGAACGTGGCCTCAGCATGGCCAGAGAAGTGGTGCGTTGGTGCGCGCCCAGGATCTGAACCTGGGCCTCCAGCAGTGGAGCACACGCACTTAACTGCTAAGCCACGGGGCCGGCCCAAGACTGTTCTTAATCATTTAATACGTTTTCAAACTTTTTGACTGTGACACAGTTTAAAAAATATATATATTTATAAATTTCCCTAACAAAAGTTCACAAACAATACTTAACCTTAATATATGACGCATTTTGCTATTTTTTATTCTATTTCGGTTTTTTAAACCACTGGCCATGACTCACTGAAGTTATGCATTGTGTGACCTGCAGTTTGGAAACCACAGCTTTAAGCCACTGTGGGTCAGGTATCAGGAAGTGGGGTCTAGGGGGGATCGGGAGGGAACAGGTGCCAGTTCCTCAGCCTTTGCCTCCAACATTTGATGAGGAACTCTCCTCTTCTCCCTACCTCCCCATCACCAAGACGTTGGACAAATAGGAAATAAATGAAGTGACCTGGGAAATGCTCTTAGTAGAGAAAGGCAACAGCAGAGGGAAGCCTGGGTATGAGCATCCAGGACAAACAGCTCCAGGGCAAGTAACCAGCAGCTCCCGGTGACCTGTGGGGGAAGGACTTGTGAAGCAGGGGAGAGCTGGGGGAAGGCACACTCTGATGCAGATAGCCTCAAATATTTCAAAGTAGGAGCCCTAAAGTTTGTCATAAATGATCCTCTGCTTTGGGCACCTTATTCACCTGCCCATTGTGTATGTATATATGTATACATATAGATACATTATAATGTTATGTATACAGAATAATTTTCTGATTATAATACATGATGTGGGCTAAATTTTCAGAAAATATGATATGATATAAAGTGACAATCATTTATGGTACCACTACTCAGAGAAAACCGCTTGTATGTTCCTCTAGACTTATTCTGCTTCTACGTTCATACACACACCCAGAGTTTTTGCTTGGTTTTCTTTGTTTTTGCAAAAAATAGGACCTATCAGGGGCCGGCCCCATGGCCTAGTGATTAAGTTAGGCATGCTCCGCTTTGGCGGCCTGGGTTTGGTTTCGGGACACAGACAGACCTAGACCACTCATTGGCGGCTATGTTGTGGCGGTGACCCACATACAAAATAGAGGAAGATTGGCACAGATGTTAGCTCAGGGGAAATCTTCCTCAAGCAAAAAGAGGAAGATCGGCAACAGATATTAGCTCAGGGCAAATCTTCCTCAGCAAAAAAAAATAGGACCTATCAAACATATTATTTTATAACTTTTTTTTAACTTAACAATATGTTATGAACTTTCATCTGTATCGAGAAATGTAGATCTACATCATTTTAGTGGCAACTCAGAATTCTATTATAGGGATGTCCTGTAATTTATTTACTTCATTTTCTATCAATGGACATCTAAGTATTTTCCCAGTTTTTCTATTAAGACAATCTTGCAATGGACATACTTATACTTATAACTTCTGTACTTTTGTGAGTACTTTATGATTATTATTTATGGCATTGATTCCTAGCAGTCAAAATGTTGATTCAAATGTTTTGTGCATTTTCAACATTGATAGGTATTGCCAAAGAGCTCCTCAAAATGGCTGAACATTTCCAACAAAAGTGATGGTAGTATTTATTTTCCCACATCCTTACCAACACAGAGTATTATCAATGTTTTATTATTTTTGTCAATCTAATTGAGGCACAATGATACATCATTGTTGTGATTTTTACTTCTTTGGTCTTTAGTGAGGTTGAGAATATTCTTTATGTTTATTGGCCTATTACATTTTTCCCCCATAAACTGCCCATAATACACTTTGCCCATTTTTACTGCTTCTGATTGATTCGTGTGAGCCCTTTATAAAGTAAAGGAATTAGCTCTTTGTCAGGTACTATGCAAATATTTCCCCCAGTTTGTCATTTGTCTTTATTTTATGATACTTTTTCCATGCAGAAGCTTTTAATCTTTAGTTAATCAAATTTATCCATCTTTTGTCTTTATGGTATCTCAGTTTTGTGATTCACACCTAAAGTTCCTCCACACTCAAAGATTATTAATGAAAAAAAACCTCTGTTTTCTCTTACTGGTTTTGTGCTTTAATTTTTTTCTGCATTTAGATCTCTGGTGCATCTGGAGTTAATTTGGGTGTAAGAAACAGCCCTTCAGTTGTTACTAAGCTCCCCAAAGTCACTTGCTGAGTATCCTAAAAGATGTTCTCTCTTTTTTTACTTTTACTCAAGAAAGTAGACTGTTTTTTTTTTAATGGTAGCTTTTTATTGTGAATAAATATGGTAAGCCTAGCCTTACTTCCCTCACCATCTCCTGAAGATCCCATGCCCTGGTATCTGACCCGTATTTTTTTAAAACAGTGTTTTTCAAACTGCATGAGTTAAGAAATCAATTTAATCAGTCACAGCCAGCATTTGAAAAAAAGAAAAGAACAGACTAGAAGTCACTTTTTTGGGGGGCATATGGTTAATTAAATAAGCATTTCCATGAAGTGGCACAGTCTCCATCGTTGTCACTTTTAAAAGCTATGAAATATTTATGCTGAAATTCCAGAGTTCCATGAAATAGTGAGAAAAGCCTAGAAAATCCTTGGTGGCCTCAGGGAGGAGTCTGTATCTAACTACTGCGGTTATTTCTGAGGTCATTTGAAGAAGGTTCTGCAGATGAGATCTAGAGAAGGTGTTTTGGCCTTTGGGAAGCTCAAGAAAGTTAAAGAATTGCAGTTAAGAAGATGTAAGAGTGAGCGAGAAGGGAGGGAGCATCAGAGCAGCCTAGGTGAAGGTTCTTGAGAGGAAAGGTTGGATTTTTTTTAACTAATAAGGAAAAATAGTGGTTGGCAATGAAAAGAGCAGAAAAGGAGAGAAAGTGCCTTTTTCCCTCGCTCAGATTTGAACTTGAGTCCAATCGGCTTGTCCTCTTTTTGTAGAGTCCTTCTCTATTCCCAAATTTCACGTCAGCCCCGAGGGAAGGATCACTGAAGGAGATCAGCTCAGCATTAGGTGCACCATTCAAGTGAGGGACTTGGACCAGGTGCTTCCGGAAATCATAATCCAGAAGGACAAAGCAATTGTGGCACACAGTAAAAGCAGCCCAGAGGCCATCTACTCAGTGATGGCCATGGTGGAACACAATGGCAACTACACGTGCAAAGTGGAGTCCAGCCAGATATCCAAGGTCAGCAGCATCGTGCTCAACATCACAGGTAGGACTGCTGCTGGAGGCTGTCGGCATTTGGCGGGCTCAGGAGCAACTGTGCTGGAAACCAGGGCGGCCACTGAGAGTTGATCCTTCTGCTCCTGCTTGTCGGGATGAATGTACTCAGGCGGGGGCGTGGTGCTTATGGGGACAAGTCAATGCAGAGCGAGTAAGCGGTTGGCTGTGGTGGTTGAGGGTGCGGGTTCTGGCACCAAATCCCAACCCTGCCACTCACGATTTCAGTGGCCTTGGGTGAGTTATTGAGCTTCTCCTTGCCACGACTCTATGAGATGGGGATAATGACAGCACCCATCCATAGGACTGTTATAATAACCAAATGACATGACTTGGCCATAAGGAGCCTCATACAGAGTAAGCCCTCAGTGACTGTTTGCTAGTGTTTCTATTATTATATTGCGTTTATCTTTCCTCTGTGCCGAGCACTATGCTAGAACCCAGACCCAGGTTTTATGACAGGATCAGGAGTGAGAAAGCATTAGTAAACTCAAAAATAATAATAACAATTCCCCTTTGCTGAACGCTCTATGACTGATTTACACACATTTTCATTTCATGCTCGTAACACGCTATGAGGTAGGTATTATGATTCCTGTTTTGCAGATGAGGAAACTGAGACACAGAGGTTAGGTCACTCATCCAACAATTACAGGGTTACCAAGCGGCAGAGCAAGAGTCTCCTCCAGGCATGTTTGACTTCCAAAGCATGTACTTAAAAGTTCCCTTGGACTTCTACCCCCGTATCTGGCTTTATTTCTCTCCATAGTACTCATCACCAAAAAAATGTGCTCTACGTCTTCCTGTTTATTGTATATATTCAGGCACTAGAATGTAAACTGATGAGTTCAGGAAGAGTACCTATTTTATTCAGTGCTATATCCTTAACACTTAGAACAGTGCCTACACATAGTAGGAATTCAATATGCATTTGTTGGATGAACGAATGAGCATGGGATGACAGTGTTTCAGAGGGCAGAGGGAGTCAGCGCTTCTTGGTTCCCAGGTGAAAGTGTTCATTCGTTCATTCACTTATTTACTGAAAGCCTCCTATGTGTCAAGCATTGAGTGTACAGTCACAGGGACAGTCCCCAGTATCACAGGCTGCCATCTACCCAACTGAGTGATTGACATATGTGTTGGATCCTGCTGGTCTATAGTGTGTGCTAGCAATTTAGTTTTCATTAATAATGACAAATATTTTGATGGCACATGATATTTTTCACTGATAAGATATATTATCTCATTAGAGAAAAGTATTCAATTCAACATATATTGAGCACCTTCTGTATACTGGGCAACTTACTGGGGATAGAGAGATGCCTAAGCCAGGCTTTGCCTTTGAAGAACTCACAGACATAAATAGACCATTAGAATGCAATGCAATGAGCAAGTACAATAAAGGGATGGGCATTCTGCTCTAAGAGCAGCAGGGACCAAGTGGTGGACACATGGACTCTTTCACCAATTAGAGCTTCATCCTTATCCCTTGGTCCAGGCTACCTTAGGAAAGCATAAAGCATCATTGGACCGTAAGATACTATTGTAGCTGATCACCCACATCCAGAAGTCTGTGTCATGTGGAGTATACAAGTCATTCAGTAGATCAGTCTCCCTGGCCCAAGAAAGCAAAGTGTTATGCTCAGCCTGCCCTTCCCATCCCCTCAGCCTGGGGTCCTGAGCTGTGTCCTTTCCATGTGGAGCTAACCGAGCCACACCAGGGCTGGCAGGCAAACACACTTGTATTCAAGTTCTACTGAGCCTTTGGAATTGTCCCCAGGTCCACTTAGGCATCTGGTTTTCCACGCCCCTGTTGCTATCAAGCCTTCCTGTAAATGGCTCTGTCTAATAATGTTGGAGGCTCACAATAATTTTGCAAACATAAAAAGCATTGAATTAGTCATTTGTCTTTGGATGGGTTTCTTCCCCCTCCACTGTCCACCTTTTCAGACCCAATCTGTCACCAAGTGCTGCCAGGTCTCTCAATTCTGTCCCATCTCTTCATCTCTACAATCACTCCCTAACACTGGCCCTCACACCAGTGAGGGATCTCCCTGAGCATCTCTGTTCCAATTCATCCTTCAGCCGGCTACAGGAGAAATCCTCCTAAAATGGCTGACATCAATATCCATGGGCTTAAACTACTGCACTGTCGTGATGCTTCACCTTGACACCTCCCCTTTCCAAACATCCCTTGCCAGTCTGCTTAGAACACCCTTTCCCCTTGGCCACTGAGAAAATTCTGTTGTCCTTAAAGACCAAGCCCCAAATCTCCCTCCAGGATCCCCCAGGCAGAGTCCCATGGTCACACCTCAGTTCCCATCATACTCTGCTCCCATCTTCACATCAACAGTCACCGTAAATATTTAGCATCTGTCTCCATCACTCTGTGTGAGTTCTTGAAGGACCAGGTCTGTGGCTCAATTCATCTTCCAATGTCGATGCTTAACACAGAGCCTGACACATTGTAGGAACTCAATAAATATTTGTTCAATGAGTGAACAAGAGACTGATCCTTATTAATCCATGTGATGGTCCTGCCAGTCTGTTTACATTACCTCCTTTACAAGCGGATCATTCTCTAACATTTCATTCCTAATTCTAAACCATTTGCACCCACCTCAGAAAGATGGTTTCTATTTTTACATTTTTGTTTACATATTTTTAAATGTAGAGTCATTGCTTTGGGATTTTTCCTAAGCCATTTATTCATATTTTTTGGTATCTGACCAATGAGATTGTAAGGCAATTTAGGATGTTGCTGTCTTTGGTTCCTTTTCCCCACTCCTAACCTAGAGCTTTGGATGGTGCTCTGAAAACAGACAAGTTAATACATTTTATAAGGAAGAATGGAATGTACCTTAATGAAATATAGATTAATTATTGAGATACCATCTTACTTTAAGTTTTATTTTATTCCCTGTCGAGGAAACTGGGAAGACTTTGTGGACTGATCACGATGGAAATAACTTCCATAGCTAGGTAACATGAGTGATGACAATGACAGTGTCGATTTGTACCCTCAAACCTGTAAGGCAGGTAAATTCAGAGCCTAAGGTAAAATTTGATTCCCTGACTCCTGGTTGCATTCTCAAACCTCTAGCCCAAGAAACTTTCCTAAGAGGAATTGGAGTCTCGGTCCCTTTCTCAACATGCAGATAGTCTCAAGAATTACTGACTCCTCCTTCCTTCCACATCAAGGGCCATAACCGTGAAGTCAGCGCGCACTTGCTTACATGAAGGATCCAAGTCTTCACATTGGTTAAGTAGCTAATTAGTAATTTCTGTGTAGCTGAAAATAAAAATATACACCATAACTACAAAATATTGAAGTATTTCAGGGAGTATTTAAATGAGGAAATGACAAGACTTTTTAAAAGTCGACTTCAGTCTTGACTACTGTTGACCTCCAAACTAAATCATGTTACTAACAATTCCTTAAAGTGACATAGAATGTTATAGCTTACAGAGTACTTGACCTTGATAGGCTCCAGGTGTTGTCTTCATTCTTCTCCTTGGGAAGTGCTGGAGGATGGTGGCCAGCTGCCACTCCCCCCCAACCTCATGCTGTCACTCTGTTTCATGCCGGCACTACATCCCCTCCTGCTTCGAGTCTAGGCACCCCCAACCTCATCTATTCTCCTCCCAGAGATCTCCCTATAACACACGTCGGATGCCATTCCCCTGACCCGGACTCTCCACGCTTCCCATTGCCCAGAGGATACAATCCATACTTCTTTGTTGGTTCCCAGTGTCCTTCCAGATCTACAGGCCTTCCTCTGGCCTCTTCTTCTCTCACTGTGTACCAGACCAACTACACTTTCAGGTGCTTGAACCTCCTGCTAGGCCTTCCACATGCTGTTCCCTCTGCCTCAGACACTTTTCCTCTTTGCCTGAATAACTTCTTCCAACAGTCCTGATTCCCCAAGCCTGGGTTCAGTGTCCCCTCTCTGGGCTCTTCTGCAAACACCGTGTCTGAATCCCCCACTGGAAGTAAGCCCTTTGAAGTCAGTGGCTGTTTATTTTTCTCTGCTATCTCCCCAGTGCCACGCAAGGTGCCCAGCACAGAGAGAGCCTGTAATAAACACTTGTGGAATAAAACCTGTGAGTGGATGAATAAATGGGTGAATGCATGAATCATTACTTGCTGCATTACAAGTTGCAAAACATTTCTAATCCATGTCTGAAATAAATTGAATTAACAAGGGCAGAAAACCTGCCTTTGGAGTCCCAGGCAAAGAATGAGCCCTCTCTTTAATTGTGTGATTATCAGGCATATGAGAAGCAAAGGAAAACTTTTTGCAGGAAGTTAGGAGTTGGTTCTGCCAAAATCAGCTTGGCCAAGGGTCTCTCTGTAAAGGGACTTTGGGAGTGGTGCTCAGAAATATCTCACCCCATTCCCACTCACTGGTTTTTCAGAGCTATTTTCCAAGCCAAAGCTGGAATCTTCCCCCTCACCTCTGGACAAGGGTGCAAGTCTGGATTTGTGGTGTTCCATCCCAGGAGCGCCTCTAGCCAACTTCACCATCCAGAAGGGAAACAAGGTTGTGTCTCAGTCGCAAAATTTCACCACGGTAGCCTCAGAGTGGGACAGCGGGACGTATACCTGCATCGCAGGCATCGGCAAGGTGGTCAAGCAAAGCAAGCCGGTCCGGATAGCCGTGTGTGGTAAGTATGGCCTCGCCGGCTCCAAGAGTCTTGGCATTGAGTGGGAGAAAGGGAATTTATCACCAGCAACCACCCTCTCCAGTCTGAAGGCAGATCAGACTGAGGCAGGGTAAGAATCGAGGGAAAGAGAGGAGTGAAACTGAGAGACCCAACAGGAGCGAGTGGGTATTCCTGCTCGGAGCACAGGAGAGGGATAATGCAAGGAAGATTTTGTTGGCAGCAGTCAGGTTCATGGCTTTGTGGTGGCTGCATGCTGTTGATGTGGCCTCTGAGTTGGCAAGATTCTGGCTGCCGGAGCAGGCACCCACCCAAAAGATCAGAGAGGAAACACTGCTTAGTTAACGCTAAACTTTAAGATCTAAGCTCCAGTTTTTAATTCATATCATGGCTGACCAGAAGCGCTAGAACTTCCGGAGGCAGAATGTAGGTACTGGGACCACCTACAGCCATGCTTCTCACACCTGACTGTGCATCCAAAACCTGGTTAGCATTCAGGTCAGATGGGGCAGATTCCACATCTCTAGCTAGCACCTTGGGGATGCTGGGCCCCAGACCATACTTTGAGTAGAGGGGTTCTACATAAATGTGGGACTCTGGTCAAGCTGTGACTGTCACTGTTGTTAGTCAGTCATGATCCTTCAGTCCAACCTGCGGCTGTGGTTTATTCAGCCAAAATTTTAGTCTCAACTGAACCAGGGTTTTAGTCTATTCTCAACTCTCTAGCCATCTAATTCAAAAGGCAATAATGCAAGAGACAAATGTGGGTCATTATATTTTAATTCTTTCTGTTGTTATTCTTTGGAAGAGGTCGTTTCATTTTATAAGCTTCAATAAATAAGATAACTTCTGAATAAGGACCTAGAGGAATTCTTGTTTCTTTTTTTTTGAGGAAGATTGACCCTGCACTAACATCTGTTACCAATCTTCCTCCTTTTTCTTTTTTCCCCCCAAAGCTCCAGTACATAATTATATATCATAGTCGTAGAGTTGTAGCTCTTCTATGTGGGACGCCACCTCAGCATGGCTTGATGGGCGGTGAGTAGGTCTGAGCCCAGGATCCGAACCAGCGAACCCTGGGCCGCAAAAGCGGAACACATGAACCTAACCGCTACACCACCGGGCTGGCCCCAAATTCTTGTTTCTTGAGGCATGCAATTTACTATCAGGAGAGGCTGAGGCACTGGGAATGTGTTTAAAAATACATTCTGTTTGGGCACTTGTTATATTTTTATGCTTTTCTTGTATCTTTTCTCAATACAAAAAAACACATGGATGTGTGTACATGTGCACGTGAGATATGTGAAAATATAAACATATATTTAAGGGGATTAATGTTTTTCTTGATTGTGTCACCCTTTTGTGCTTGTATCATTCTCTTTCCCTCTCCCTCCTCACCACACATACACGCACATTACCTGTCAGTCTTAAAGGAATTCTGTAAGGGTAGATAAGGCAGGTAGACATTTAAAATTATGATAATGACAGAGAAAGCAAAGCCCAGAGTTTGGAGAAGGAACCCTTTGGAGTGTATGTTTTGCTTCAGATTGTTTCTCTCTGTCATTCTAGAAATGCTCTCCAAGCCCGAGATTTTTTGTGACTCCAAGTCTGAGGTGATAAAGGGACAGACCATAGAAGTCAGTTGCCAATCCAGACGCGGAACCTCGCCTATTTCTTATCATCTTTTAAAAGCAAGTAACATTCTGAAGAGTCGTAACGTGAGCTCAAATGAGCCCACAGTATTCAAAGATAACCCAACAAAAGACGTAGAATACCAGTGCATCGCAGATAATTGCCATTCCCATGCCGAAATGGTCAGTGACGTTCTGCGGGTCAAGGTGATAGGTGAGTTGCTGCGCTATGAGAAGAAATCATGTGGGATTGGGGCTTTTGTTCACATTTTCAAAGGTTTGGGGTTGTCCAGGGATTGTGTGGACAAGAGAAGTGCGTGGTATTTGTGCAAAGTCCATAAACATGACCTGTGGCAAAGCAGGACCAAGGCCCGGGTAAATGGGGCCAGAAAATGTCTGAGGGCTATTGGTGTGGCCTGTGCCATCTCTTTTCAGAAACTTTCAAGCAAACTGCTAAGACATAAGAGTGAAGTGTCCCGACTTCAGGAAGCACTAAAGCTGTGCTTTTTGGGCTCCCTTAGCATTTGCTCCTTTTTAGAGGAACTGACAGCCATGTCTGAGAATTGGAGACCTGAGCTCTTCTCTGTGATTGACCATTGGTGTGGCAAACTCCGTCCTGTGCAGAACCCACAGCAATCAGAGCTGCGGGCTATCATCTCGTGGGACTCGCTAACATTTGCCTGAGCCTCTCATACTCAAGAGAAATATCCCATTGTCCTGGAGTGGACATTTTTCCTTGAGCCTCTATCTTGTGCCTCTCAGAAGGCCTTTGGAGTGCCATTGCTTGCATCTCTGAGATAGTCTGCATCCTGTTGTAAAAATCTTAATAAGCCTTCCACCTCTTCCTCCTCTTTCTTCTTGTTTAATAACTGCTTATCTACATGGGCCATGTGGACATCTTGAGTCGGATAGAGATTCCTGCTTCTGTTAATGTATAGTTTAAGAGTAGCCATACTTTTCAAATTAACATCATATATATAAATCCCCTAATGCTGTGGGGCATACAAAAAAAGAAAACATATTCTTTGGGGCCGGCCCTGTGGCATAGCGGTTGAGTGCGCGCGCTCTGCTGCTGGCGGCCCAGGTTCGGATCCTGGGCGCGCACCAACGCATCGCTTGTCAGGCCACGCTGTGGCGGCGTCCCGTATAAAGTGGAGGAAGATGGGCACAGATGTTAGCCGAGGGCCAGTCTTCCTCAGCAAAAAGAGGAGGATCGGCATGGATGTTAGCTCAGGGCTGATCTTCCTCACAGAATAAATAAATAAATAAATAAACAAATAGAAAACATATTCTTTGTTTTCAATGATATAACAAGAAACACAGGATCTCCTGATTAAATAGCTGATTAAATTAATATATTTGAATAACAGTGCAAACAAGCATAGAAAAAGTGTTACTAGGCAACGCACGGTTAATTGTCACATGAACTATCCTTAAAATGATGACGATAGGAATTTAGGGCATGAAAGACATCATCTAGCTGGAGTGAGAAGAGCTGGGTTAGGAGCCAGGGCTTGACAATGGTGGGCAGAGAGAGCTAGAGATGGCCTACCAGCCTGGTCAAATACATGAGCAAAAGGCTCCATGGAGCAGTTCAAAAGACTGTGGGTAAATCAGATGGCTGGAAACAAAGGTTTGGAATGGAGAATCACTGGATATAAACTGAAAAAATAACTGGGCCCAACTGCAAAGGGCATTGAATGCCAATCTTAGGAGTTGGGAATTTGTCCTGTGTGCAATGAAGAGCCAGAAGAGGGAAGCAGGATATAACGAGAATGGGGTCTTAGGAAGACTAACTTGGTGTCTCTATCAGTTAGAAGGAATGGAGACTTCAGACCTCCTAATACCTTAAGAAGCTAATGTAGAAGCCTATGTGAGGGGGCCGGCCTGGTGGCGCAGGCGGTTGGGTGCACGTGCTCCACTGCGGCAGCCCAGGGTTTGCCGGTTCGGACCCCAGGCTCACACTGATGCACTGCTTGTCAGGCCATGCTGTGGTGGCGTCCCATATAAAGTAGAGGAAGAAGGGCACAGATGTTAGCTCAGGGCCAGTCTTCCTCAGCAAAAAAGAGGAAGATTGGCATTGGATGTTAGCTCAGGGCTGGTCTTCCTCACAAAAAAAAAAAAAGAAGCCTATGTGAATCGTTGGTTTAATATAGGTCAATATTAGTGGCTAACATTTACTGAGCCCTGGCCATGTGCCCACCCATGAATGAAGTATTTTAGTAAATTGTTCCCATTAATACTTACAATAGCCATGTAGGACTCATACTATTATCCTTGTTTTATGGTGAGGCAACTAAGGCTTAAGACAAAGAGCTGGCTGGCAGTAGGGCTGGGAATTGAGGGGCAGTCTGGATCCTGAGCCTACCTTGCCACCACCCCCTTGTGCTTCAGATTCCTCTGGGAATCTGCCCTTGTGGTTGACTTCCACCATTCCATCCCAGGCCTGGAGCTCCCTTTTGTTGGACCAGCAGCTCCATGGTCTGGCCACCCACTGCACTCAAAGGAGGGTGATTCATGAGTCAGATGCCAGTCTGCTGACCAGTCTATTCTCACACTAATAGGAGAATCATTTAGGGAAGACAATTTAGGATCAGAATTTTGGTAGTTGGACATGGAGCCAGGGAAAGAGGTTACAGGAGGAAGATGAGTTCTGCTTGGATCTGCCGGGAATGAGACGCTGGCAAGTCTTCTAGGTGGAAATGGTGGAAATGCCCAGGTAATAATCAAGACTTAGAATTCAAGGAAGTCATCTGGACTAGAGCTGTATATTTAGGCATTAAAGGCTATATGTTTATGTGTTAGATACACAAATAGAAGCTATGATGTAGATGAGGTCACCAAAGGGGAGAATGGAGATGGAAAACTGAGGACTGAATTTTGCAGAAAGTCCCCATTTAAGGGGCAAAAGAAGAAAACCTGGTGAATAAAGAATAATATAATAAAGGGAGTGATGGTGAGGAGTGAAGTGAATCAGGGTTGTGAGGCATCACAGAAGCCTGCAGAAAGCTGAGTTCAAAAGGAAAGGCTGGGGGACAATTGAGAGCTGTAGGGAGGCCAAGGGTGGGAAGATGGGAAGAATGTCTACCATGGGGTTTAATCTGCAGGGGACTCAGGGATGAGTTAGCAGGGGATCAGGTGACCTTTTGAGTTTCTTCAAAACCAGAGATAGAGTGCAGTTTCAGAAGCAGAGGGATGGAAGTCAGATTTCAGGGGTAACAAGAAGGTGAGAAATCAGGATGTGAAAGCAATAGGTTTAGACTACTCATAAAGGAAAAAGGAGAATAACAGGACGATAGCTAGAGACGGTAGTGGTCAAGGTTATTTGTTTGGAAGATCTGGAAGGGCTGTGCATCCTTGTAAGCAGAGGGAGAGAAATCACACCCCCACACCCACACACACACACACTAGACTCCCAACAGAACACATAAGTTAATCTTATAGTGAAGCTGAGTGGTCAGGAATACTTGAGGTGGTAATTGAAGGGAGGTGTCCCTAGCACCTTAACTTTTTTTTTTCTTTGGTGAGGAAGATTGGCCCTGAGCTAACATCTGTTTTTTTCCTTTGGTGAGGAAGATTGGCTCTGAGCAAACAGCTGTGCCCATCTTTCTCTGTTTTGTCTGTGGGATGCCACCACAGCATGGCTTGATGTGCAGTGTGTCGGTCCGCACCCAGGATTCGAACCTGCAAACCCCAGGCCACCGAAGCAGAGTGTGCGAACTTAACCACTGTGCCACCGGGCTGGACCCTTTAGCATCTTATCTTTAATCAACACTTGAGGACAGTTGCTGCCCTGCTGGGCTAATCAGAGGAGGAACTGTGGAGAATGTGGGATGAGAGGAGAGACTTGAATAAAGGGGACAATCCCTACAGGGCAAATCTGAGTCACAGTACGGGAGGAGGCTGGCCATGAGGAGTGGCAGTGTCATTTTCCTTCTCTTCCCCTTTTCTCTTCTTTTCTCAGTGCTAATCTTTTTCCTGCTTTTCAGCCCCGGTAGAGGAGGTCAAGCTCTCTGTCCTGTTGAGTGACGTGGTGGAGACTGGGAAGGACATTGTGCTTCAATGCTCCGTGAACAACGCATCTGGTCCAATCACCTACAGGTTTTACAGAGAAAAGGAGAGCAACCCCGTCTATGAAAGTGTGTCAAATGACACCCGCGCCGTTTGGCACGAGTCTGAAGCTAGCAAAGGGCAGGAGGGACAGTATTATTGCTTGGCATCCAACAGAGCCAACCTTGCCAAAAACGCCCCCCAAAGCAACGCAGTGACGGTCAGAGGTGAGCTGAGGTCTCAACCGTGAGATAGAGTGTAGCCATCAAGGGCGAGGCCAGAGAGCTCACCACTTGTAAGAGGAAGTAGGTAGCAGTTTAGCGCATGTTACTGAGGATTAAGAGACCAACGTCCTCCAGGCTCTTTGGTTAGAAGTGACAGGGCCGGCCCTGTGGCTTAGCGGTTGGGTGTGCATGCTCTGCTGCTGGTGGCCCGGGTCGGATCCCGGGTGCACACCGACGCACCGCTTCTCCAGCCATGCTGAGGCCGCGTCCC